GGTTAACACTTAGATATAGAAATATCCTTTCTATATGTGCTCCATAATGAAAGAGGAAACAAAGATTTTCAATTTTCTGCAACTATATAAGCAAGTCAAAAACTACTATATACCTTAATGAAGAAATCCTTTTAAGGGGAAACTGTTGGAAATCATGACCAGGTTCAACAGGAGAAAATTCAGCTAATAAATTTGTGAATATGATATTTAATGTACCTACATTTTGTAATGTACAAAATTGGACAAATATATATATATATATATATTTCTCAACTCCTGGGATGACATAAAACATTATTTCTAGGAATAGCTTTTGTTATATATGACAATGCCAAGATACATTGACATTTATACGTTAGAAGAAATATTTGAACAGTGGTTAAGTCTACTCTAACCTACGAAAATCTCCATCAGACTAGTTACTAAAGCTTTACCGCCCTTTCACAGTAGCTTACAGTGTCAACCTAGGAAGGAATATCTGTTCTTTTGTGAAATTTTCCTCCTAAAACCTAACACTTTTTTCATTGTTCTTAATCTAATATGTCTTTACTATGAGTATTTTCTATTTAGCAATATTAGACCTGACACGGTATTTAAAATAATTTTATGTCATATGTATTTTATTACTGATTTTTATAAGATATCCTAATATTTTCTTACTTTATGTTTTTCACTAGTTGGCTGTACTGTATTTTTATCAGGATCTACTCTCACCAAGGACTGCAAGTTCTTTCAGATGGGTAGCGAGTTACAATTACTAATTACCCAGGGTTAATATTACTTATTAACTCTGCATAATGGAATTGTGCTAAGAGGCCTCGATAAGGATGAAGCCAGATGTGATATAGAACTAATGGTAACTGGTAACCCCTGCCCACCAAAAAAGGGATTAGTGGATAAAAGAGAAGAAACAAGGCTTATAGAATACAAAATAAAAGTTTTGCAGTTTAAAAAAGATCATAATGAGGTGGATGAGGAGTTGTCTCAACATTCACCTCCTCTTTACAAATTATTCATAACTGTATTGAACAGTGCTGGTCCTATCTCTGATCTCTGAAGTACTACTAATATATAGGTTCATTCCAATAAGAACTCAACATTTATTCTTACTCTTGCCTTCCCATTGTGAAAGCTCTTTTTAATCCATGAAAGTTCTGTATTTCTAACACTGTGTTTATTGGGTTTCCTTAGCTGACTCTGAAGCACGTATTTTATCCAAAGACTTTTAAGAATCAAATGTCAATTTGTTTTACTTGTTCAAACTTTAAGAGAGTGTTTGGTATTTGTAATGTTTTTATTGCAATTTGGATTGTTTTAATATGTTGCAGGTAAAATTAATTGCTTTGCAGATGGATTTTTTAAAAATTAAGGTGATATAATTGATATTCAATATTGATATTTATTGTGACATATTACATTGAGGAAATGCCCTCTATGCCTTCAGTGCATTTCTCATTCTCTGATATTTGGCTAGGATTAATGAAGCATCAAAAGTAACTGAAATAGTGGTGAGAAGTGATACAAAAATTCAGCCAATGACAATGTCAACTCCTTGGTCTGCCAACACCAAGGAAAAAAAATGCAATATGCTGATAAAAGAGACTAATAAGACAGATATTACTGGGCTATCAGCAGCCTTTGAAACACGGAATATCTGGTGCATGTTGCAAAGCATGACTTCTTATTCAAAGAAGGGAAATTTATATTACCAAAGTTGCTCAAGAACAATGAAGCTGCTGACATGAAGAATAAGAACAAAATCTTGTGGAAAATAACTTGTTTTGTGTACTATTTATTTTTACAGTAATTTATTTCCTATGTGATGTATTAAACAAAAGTGCCTCTGAGTATTTAAAGAAAAATATTGGTCATAAGGACTTTTATACTGTTTTTCTTTTAAATGAATATGTTCTGTCTGTTGATACATTGTCATAGGATGAAAAAGATCTCAGATCCATACAGTTAAGGTTCCTGGAAGAATGACATATAAATATTATTTCAAGCTGAGATGACTTGTATACACAGTGGTTATCCATTCTTTTTCCCATGAATTAGGATTCCTGACACTATCATTAGATAGATAGACTGGCCCAACTTTTTAACTTCTGTTAAATCTTCCTTCCTTCCTTCCTTCCTTCCTTCCTTCCTTCCTTCCTTCCTTCCTTCCTTCCTTCCTCCTTCCTTCCTTCCTTCGTCCTTCCTTCCTTCCTCGTCCTTCCGTCCTCCTTCCTCTCCCTCCCTCCCTCCCTCCCTCCCTCCCTCCTCCTTCCTCCTCCCTTCCTTCCTCCCTTCCTTCCTCCCTTCCTTCCTTCCTCCCTTCCTTCCTCCCTTCCTTCCTCCCTTCCTTCCTCCCTTCCTTCCTTCCTCCCTTCCTCCCTTCCTCCTTTCATCCCTTCCTTCCTTTCTTCCCTTTCCTTCTTTCCCTGCTTCCCTCCCCCATGCCCATGATTGCATGGATCATCCCACTTTTCTTGGAGGACATATTTCACAAGATCCATGTTAAATATAACAAATGCTTTTCTTTCTCACTTAACAATCTTTTATTTTCTGAAGCTTCCCTGAAGACATGATATACTAGACTTAGCTATGTGGTTAGATGGCATTTATGTTAGAATGTAACATTTTCAAGAGGCCAAGTTTTTAATGGTATTTAAATGCCTAAACATTGTAGTAGATCATACAAGAATTTCCAAAATTGTAAAACAGCAATTAAACTTGTCATTATTTAGATGCCTTTGAAAATATTAACCTATAATTTTAATTAAAGTACTAGAACCAACTTAGGCTTTTAAACACCTGCTTGGGTTATTCCTTTCTCACAGGTTTTCATCTTGCTCAGATTAGCATAGTGTAATAACTCTGTTAAGCAAGTTCATATATTCTGAAAGGGTTAATCTGTATCAGATTATGGGGTTTTAAGTATATAAGAATGTACTCTTTTTTAATAATGCACATTTTCAGTGCCATGTCCAACATGACTATGGAAGAGAAGTTTGCCATTTTAAGTGCAACATTTGTACATCTGAATTTTCAGGAAATTTGAATTATTATATATAACTTATCTAAGGGGATTACAAGAACTGAGGGTTGATTTGAGACATCTTTTATTTTTTACATTATATATTATTTATTTCACAGCAGTGCTAGTATTTTTGCTAGGTTATTGTGCATATGAGCCAAAACATCTACATGTATGTTCTCATAAGCTTACATTCTAAAACCACAAAACAAGACAGGCTGTAGGAGATGGAAGAGTCATCAACCATATTTCACTAAAATCAATAGGGTTCTTGGACATGTTAAGGTTTGCCAAAGTCAAGTAGAGTTAATGACCTCAGCTCTCTGAGATCATTAGACATCTCTCTAGGCACTGATCTCAGCTCTCTAGTGTTCGTTATTCTTAACATGTCACTAGCCTTTCCCTCATTTCTCCCTGAATTTTATCAGTGTGAAACCAATCAGCTGCTGGGAAAGCAGAGTAGCAGACCTAACAAGAGTAGCTTTGCACCATTAGGTCCTACATAATGCTGTGCCATAAATACAGCATAACACCAAGGAATCATAAGCAAATTTAACCTTCTGGGTCCAAACAACTTCAGTCTCAGAACTGTTTGAGGTCTGTCAGGTCAGTATGCTTCTTTGGAAGGACAAATAACTTTTCCAAGATACAAAGGAAATAACTTTAAGCTTATTTGTGCTCAGAGTCTCTTGGTCAGAAAACTCTGACCACTATTTTATTTTATTTTATTTTATTTTATTTTATTTTATTTTATTTTATTTTATTTTATTTTATTTTATTTTATTTTATTTTATTTTATTTTATTTTATTTTATTTTATTTTATTTGTTTTTGCCTTTGCTTGATATGTAGTCTCACTTCATACGGATAGAGGACTGAGATGTCCACTAATTTAGTGAAAGCTACTAGCTTAGTAGACAGCCTAAATTTCCACTAGAATGTGTATCTAAGTGTGGGTCCCACCATGGAACAGTTAGGATGATCCTGAGAGGCTACACTGCTGATCTTCACTAACTGCAGAGGGTAAGGCAGGCTTCTTACCTCAACAAAAAGAGACATTTAGGCAATTATTCTTTATTTTGTTAAAGGTCTGTCTTTACTATAAACAAATCAAGTAGTTGCAATGCCAGCTTTAATGACTGTTTCTGGATTTGAATGAGACTTATAGTCCTTGAATGGTTCAAATTTCTTCAGAATCAGGGTCCATAAAACTGAGACTTGGAGTGTGAAGTAATCTCCAGTGTTGCAGGGACAGTGGCTTTAGAAAGAGCTAAACAGAGACTTTGCACCTGATAAAAAGACCCAGCTAGAGTTAAATACCCTAATTTAGAGAAAGTAGAGGGCTATCATTAAACGAGATCCAAACTAAGGATTGTGACTTTACTGTTTCTCCTAGGGCCTTAAAAAATGCAGATGCTTTTGTTGGCATATATTGTGGTATAGAATTAAAACAACAGCATTTGATGCATGTTACAGCCAGGATATTCTGGGGCCTGGGACCTAAGACCTAGGTCTTAGGTAATGTTCTGAAATTTCAAAATAGTCTCTGGGAATCTGCATCCCATTTCCAAAAATGAGTGAAGGTACATAGACATTTGGCATAAACTGATTTTTAGGGAAAAGAGAATTGTTCTGAATAAAACAAATTACAAAAGCTTATTCCAATGAGGGGAAAAAATAATCTGTCATCTTAGAACCAGAGCATGTAATAGACAATCTGCTGCAAGCCCTCTGTCATTCTCCTGAATTTAAATTCAAATGGAAAATAGAACATTATTCTTTTTTTATTATTATTTTATTTTTTTCCCTACATAAAGACTTCCTTCTACTCATAACAAAAATAAGAAAAGATGGTTATTATATGTATTACTTCTGTAATTTTAATCCACACTTTCCATTTGTTCTTCCATATCTAGAGGGCTATTGTATGTCCAGTGGCTTCAACGTATATACCACTTAACATATAATGCAAGAAACATACATCATGCCAAAATCATTTAGTTTTTATTACAACTTTTTCCTTACAATTTTCTACTTATAATGAGTGCATAAAAGACCCCTTTTCACCCTATTGTTTTTAGACTAAAAGCCACTTTATTCTTAATAAAAGGAATAATAAGTGCCAGTTGTAAAATACTCTGTCAATCACTTCAGCACTTACAATTGTGTAACACCTTTCTTTAGGACCTCTTAGAGTGCTTTAGAAAAGATAAAAACAAATAAAATAAAATTACAATTACATTTAAATGCAGAATTAAACTAATGAGTTTTAGATCACTTGAATTTTGTTACTAAAGGTTGAAAAGATACAATGTGCTTCTGAACACCCTGCAAGGAGTTGAAAGCTGCAGTGGCCTTGTCCATGCTGATCTTCAAATGAGCTATTCCAGAAGACCCTCATTAAAAGCAGGTTGAATTGCAGCAGAAAATATCTTCTTCTGCCTTGATTTCCCGTATCTGATTTTTGTCAGCTTATATTATACTTTTTTTTTTTTTTTTTTCCTGCTGTATATTGTTTCCTCCATGTGTACTGGTGGTAGTGGAAAAAATATTTCCTGAGATAAAAAGACAAAATTAGGATCTTTCAATGAATCCTATATTCAGGATAAATGGGAGGGATGAGGAGTGAAAACTAAGTGAGACATAATCTAAGCATGTTGTGACTATGCTTTGCTTGTGTGCTATGGATAATTAATTTAGTTTTTTTGATGACTATGGTTTGTGGCTTCAGACAAACAAATTAAGCTTCAGAATATATGTTATCCAGTGATTGAAAATGCTGTCTCCATTTACAGTCCGGTTTACAGTTACTTTTACAGACAAACACATTTGAGACACCTAGGTTAAATACCTATAGGAAGCGTTCCCATGCCTTTTTTTCAAAAATGGTCAGTATAGTTGGTTTTCTTGTGGGTCCTCAGAAAGGCATATGTCAATGGTTTGTGACATTCTTACTGTTTTCTGCTGTTGCTTTTGGTAACAGCAGTCTCATTACAAGGAGATTACAATTATGAAACTCTTTGTTAAAGGTAATGAAAAGGTGACTAAACTGTCTTATAGGTGATGAAGCTACTCTGTGTTTATGTAACAGTAAAAGTATTCTATTTTTACTAGCAGACAAATGTAACAGCTTCTTGAGATACATTGCTTTCTTCTCTTAGGGCTCTTCCAGATTACAAAGAAATGAAGATCAACTTAATTTAATGAACCCTGTGAAAGATATTATACCCATTTGCTTTCTCATGCCTTAAAGTTCAGCAAGTCTGAGGGGAGTTTTTCAGTATTCTTTGGATTAAACTCACAAAATACTAAGGAAAGTTATTAAGAGGCATGCACTGCTGGTAAAGAAAGAAGCCATCTAGTCACATCCCATGAGTTAACTCATGCAATGACTGATATGGCTGATTATCTGTATTAAGCATAAATAAATAGGGAGATGTCAATAGGAGATGGCAGTATTTGGAGGAGGAATGATCCCAATATATTAGCAACCAAATGCAAGAGACAAATAGAGTGCAGTCCAGTTGACTCACCTCTTGCTCTGTGCCATCTGAGATGCCCTGGGACATCCCGTCTCAAACGAATTTTTCAAAATAGCACAGGTCTTCAAAATAGCATAATTTGTTCAGAGTATTTGCCAGCCCTGTAAGGACATCTCAAAATATCTCTAAAAGCAGTTGATCTCTGTATTTAGCCAATGGAATATATCTGGAAATTTATGGGAATTTCCACCTGTAGGCATCTACATTAAATTGTTCTGTTTATACATATTGAGGACACCTTAAGGGATTGACTCAGTTTCATAAACAGTTGTCTAGTGCCATTTGAGGGTCCTTGGGGTATCTGAGACATCCACAGAGGGCTGGCATATGTGACATGGTGGATCTATGTCCTTCTGCAGCCAGATGATGGAGGACAGGCAGTTTCAGATAGCACTAGTTGCCTATATTTATCCCACTGAAAATAAAATAATAATAATAATAAATCTACATCTCTGTAGATTATGATGGCAGCCTAGAAACCTAGCTTTCATACTGTAAGCAACTGTATGTTGATTTAGGTGTGTTAATCTCAAAAAGAATAAGACTCCTTGTAGCAAAGACAGCACTATCAGGAAGAGAGGGCACATGGCTGTGCTGGAGGTACAGCCATGCACACCCCTTCTGAGCCATGGGATGTGACCTGTCGGTATCGCTGACAGGACCTTCTTCAACAGCTCCTCCTCTCCTCAGCTGCACAGTCTCATTCCCACATCATAACCTCTGCTGTGCCAATACAGCCAGTTGTGGGGCTCTGAAGTAAATCAGAAAGGGAACTGATCCATTTCTGGTGGGTCATTTTTCACTGGGACCAGGTTCCCAAGACTGTTCACCATGCAGCTGCACAAACAGTGGTGCCAGTACAACAAAGTCAGGGGTGAAGGAAGGAGTGAATGGGAGGTGGACAGCAGGAACCAAGTCTAAGTAGGCTTAAGCAGCCCTGCTGCTGAATGTGTAACCACAGCCTCAGTGGCTCTCTGATCATGCCTCTGCTCTAAATGATTTCCTTTTGAAACTTTCCTTTTGCCTGTTTACCTACTGAGGCAGATCAGTCACTTGGCACTTATATTTGCTTCCTGCATTTCTGCTTCTGTTTTTTCTCATGATCAGTGACTGAAAAGTAACATTACACTGGCAGCAATAAAAAATTGTCACTGGAATTCCTCCAGAAAGAGCCAGTCAGTGCTCTTTATTCAGCATACACTGGGGGATTGCTGTTGTTCTTTGCCATCTTTTGTTTCTTTCAGAAAATTAGTAATTAAGGAAGCTGTTGCACAGGGTGTGCACTCTCTCCCCATTATAAAGTTTGAGCATGGGGATGAAATCAACTTATTTCTTCCATGTAAGTGGGCTCGTCGTGTCATCAGTTCGTTTTCATTGTTTCCTTTGGCTTCTAAAACAGACTAATTTTCCATGGAGACATAGTCAGCCCATAGGAAGATGTGAATTAATTTATGACTCATTGTAATAAAGCACTTGAAAACATATACAGGACTCCCAGCGCAGGAGTCAAAGAGATTTAAACACATGCCTAAAAGTAAGCATCCACTTCATTCCTTTGTAAACAGGACCTTCATGGAAAAAACTAATGCCCACATTTATTCAGCACCAGTGCATCAACATTTTAATTCTTTCAGATATTGTCTATACAAAAATGAGATATCAAAACTTGTCTCAAAACCGAATGAACTACAGCAGATGAGGAAGAAAAATTTCTCACTGAAATATTTTATGCCTTTAAAGTGGGGTAATTAAGTCCTCTAGAATCTCTTTAGCCACTAAAAAAGTTTTAAAATCCACTGCTTATGAACAGTTTTTTAAGCTTGCAACATTCCTAATAAATTAATGTTTACTATTCCAAAAATACTTTAGAGGTATCAGTGTACACATCTTAAAAGTATTCAGCATGCAAGCTAATCATCTGTTCATGTTTAAATGATACATTTCTCTACTTCATGTACAGCAATCTTCAGGCTGGACTCTTTGTATTAAACAAAGGAGGAAAAAGCTGGTGAGAAAAGTCAGCTAGTGGAGAAGATAAGAAATGACTTGAAAAAGAAATAAAAATATATGTGATACAGCAATGAAAAATCATAATAAGAACATTAAAAAAACCACCCTCAAACTCCAAATCCTGGGATACATATTACAGCAAAGAGACAACATAATACTTTAAAGATGCATCTGCACTGTTTTGAGCATAAAGACGTAAACGATTATTTTCTTTTAAAAAATACTATATCAAATTTGTAATTCTATACAACTTCACAGTATTAAGTAAAATTTTTAAAACTTAAAACATGCCATTTTTATTAATGGTCCATTTTAAAACCACCAAACATTTTGATGTCAATTCCTAAAACAAGGTTTAACGCTGTCAGAAAGCATTACTGCTAAAAACAGTCATCTTCTCGGTGTTTTTGTCTGCAAAGCATTACAGTTTATAAAACAATTTTAACTTGGAATACGTAAGACTCTATATGAAAGTTTCCATATGTTAAAAATTTTATTTGTGTGTTTGATTTTAAATTGCTTTGAAAAACAGACAGTTGAGGTTTATAGAAAGGAATCTTTCTTTTAGGAAATAAATGTCTCAAAAGTACAGGGCACCAGCAGTAAAAACATTCTTACCACAAATCAGAAACACATTGAGAAGTGTTTGTTGAGTACACCTTCTGAAACCAGAATTTGTTTCTATTTGCTGGAAAATTGAAAAATCTGTTGTATCTTGGCATGCTTGTTTGGCACTGTCCCAGGCTGTTCATGCAGCAGTGGCATTATTGTGCAATAAAGCTTTCAGGACTTGTAAAGCTTTCAAGTTTCTCTTCCATTTAATTTCTAATATGCAATGTATCTGCCAATGGTCTGCACAGAACCAACCAACACCGTTGTTTTATGAAGTGAAAAGCAAAAGTGTATATTCCATGATATTTTATTTTTAATAAAATGTGAGGAATTTTTAAGAAATGAAGACAATTAATCAGTGTCTCAGCTTCTGCATGGCACCTAGCCAGAAGCCACCAAGCAGACAGCTGAAGTTTGGAGATTGTTTTTGCAAGGCTAATTTAAGGTGAACTTAGATGGATTCAAGATTTATAAGCACTACAAAGTCCTGACTGGAGCAAAGTTCAACTAAGTAATCCACAGCTCACTCTGCAGACAAAGTGCTGCAGCCGAAACTTCCCTGTGATTTAGTCTACAGTCAATGAGAATTTTCAAAACAGGCAGAAGGACTGAATTTCACTGTTTCACTTCAAAGGTCTCCTAATAACTGAGAGGATTATACTCTTTTAACCGGTTAAGAAGGTTAGATGATTTTGAGTGAGTGGCTTTACATCCATCAATAATTCTAAGTTGAAAGTTTAAAGATATCGTATGTATGTACATCATTTAACTCTTGAAGGGTTGCAGTGCAACAATACACCTGTTTTGAAACTGCATCCAAATTGCTAAATAAGCGATAGCTGTTTTTAAACTGCTTTACCAAAGTGAAGATATTAGTAAGAAGATTAATTAAAATTCTTCACTGAAACATTTAGTAAAATTAAGATCCTTTAAACTGCTTCTGACTTCCTTCTTTCCCCACTAAATAAATATATAATGCCCATTTAAGATCATTCTAATGTGAGCTGTGCAGACTTTGATGTTAGTACCCTTTACCTCTAGCATGCTAATGCCATATGTATATTTTATCAAATTAGAAAGAAGTTTCAAATGCTCAGTTCCAGTGACAAAGGTACCGCTGAAGTAAAAAAGCTGAGGATTGTCAAACTAAAATGAAAAAGGTACATGCAGGAAATGGCTATAAATTTTGTCTTTTTACAGGGGAAGACAGGAAATTATACATCATAATAGTAAAAGAACTATCCTTTATCATATCAAGTGGCTCTTCTTAAGTTCTTTTTGCTCACGTTTACCATTATTAGTTCAGTCAGAGAGCCCGGTTAATAAAGAATTAGTTCTGCATTACATGATTGTACCTCAAATCTTCTGCAAAGAAGTCAGGGTAACACATGTGCTGTGAATTCTCAAAGAATGGCTGACAATTTATTGTGAGTTTTACATAGCCTATATTAACATTAGCATTAACACTAGCCTATGGAACTGCCCCTAAAATAGTTAAAAACAAAACAAAACAAAACAAAAACACTCCAAAAAAGACAAGAGGGAATGAAGAAGTGAAGAAAAGGCCATATAGAATTGCATATAATGTATCAAAAATTCCATTAATATTATTATTAACAATAAAAATAACCATCATCGTATTAATGTAATGCCTAGGAGTCATAATACTTTTTGAATAAAATATCAGAGACAATCGGGAAAGGTAATTACAATTTTGATTGATAGAAGGACCACCCATATCTTCTATCTGACCAGCAAGATATAATACAAATTGACTTAATATCTCGAATGGAAAGTGGAAGGGGTGGGAAACGAGTCAAATCTGCTACAATGACTTTTAGAAATGACTGAAATACAGGAAACATTTCCTCTTGGACTGTTTTAGAAAAAACTGCATCCTGCTTCCTTATCAACATAAGCAATTATCTTAATATATTCTAATGTACATTATAAGTGGAAAAACACTTCCGAAAAATGGAAACTATGCTTTTAAAAATGGGAATATTAAAAAATCTTATGGATTTTTTTTATTATTATTATTATTTTCCCTTAATCTTTCATTGCTCTCAAGTTTTCCATAGTTTACCAAAACATTGCTGAAATAAATACAATAAAGACTCTGAGAAACTGTTCTGAAGCCTAACTACAATGGGTAGAGAGTAGCCCTGGATGATTTCCATTGAACTGGCAGAGGATACAGGTCAGTGAGATTATGGAGATTTTTGCCTGATCTGATGCTCTGCACGACTGACACCTTTCCATTTTCCAGCGTTACCTGTTATGCATTGAAGCTTACAGTATGTTACTTGGGGCCTGCCTTTTGGGGGATGCATTTTACAATGCAGAAATTCCTTATGTTTGAAATATTTTGATAATTAGATATGTCTCCTTCCAGAACCTTTAAAGGGAATTTGAGATTTATTTTCCTTAATGATGAGCACAAGAATAAACGTACAAAACTAAATTGCTAGTTGGGTAAATGGGGTAGGGGCAGAGAACAACAAAAACAACAGAAATAAAATTGATTGGGTGGACTAATCTGGAAGTGGTGCCTTAATACGCATACCTTAACGCATCATAAGTGCTACTGGATGCATTTGTTTCATTTCTTTATTATTTTTTACATGGTTATTTATGTATTTTTCAGTTTAACCAGGACAAAAACAGCACTTTATGTATTGAGAAATCAGCTACAAAGGCTGGGTCAGTTGTTGGTCTGTGCTGAAGGATCTCTTCTGCATAGGATGCACAATGTGGTATGACTACTCAAGGGTGCACTTCAATCACTCCTAGAGAGGGGATATTTAGACTGGGTGAATGGGAGTCCCTGTGAGCAGCACTCATACATTTTGCCCATCAGAAGAGTGGATAATGTGGTTTTTCATCTAAGATTTCTTAGGCATTCTAAAATGTTTCTTTTTTATCAGTAGGTGGTTGAGCCTGCTTGATACTGTGGCTGCTTTGTTAACCAGTGCCTGACTGCATCACACAAGTGCCATGGGTTTTGTATTATTAACACAGTCCTGCACAGTGCTAAGCAAGACATCCAGTCTGAATTGGTAATGCTGGGCACTTCACGAGACATGCTCAGCACCTTCCAGTACTGAGCCCTAAATAATGGTCTGGAATTAAAACAGCATATTAAATTTCACAGTCGTCTTCATAATCAGGTAGGGGGAAAGGTCATGATATATCCACCAATGCCTTGATACTAGCAAAGCTCTATCTATATGTATGAAAAGCAGCAAAATGTAGTTTAAGAAACGTATTTTAAAAAAATGATCTAAGGACTGTAAAAGCACTCAAAAGTCTTTTATTATGCATTCTTTTGAAAAAATGTTTCTATAAAACATAGATAGTTACGAAGAGAATTTATATAAAAATTGATCTATAGCATGTCAATGTGAAATGAGAAAGTTTGTCATATTGTTAATGCAAATTAAAAGGACAATCTTAATCTATGGGAGATGGATATTTCAGTCCTTTCACAAGGAACTGAGATTATACATTGGTAACTAGTCGGTGATACTTCAGTGCTTTAAATACTGTTCTTTCCCATAATAAATATTTTTATATTTATAATGAATAGGTAGGCAAATAATAAATTACAGGCATAAAATATGCATGTTTCTTCGTATTAATGGCATGTTTTAAATTTTCTTCCATAACTGCAGTAGGATTTTTTTAATGTAATTTCTATAATGAGAATCCTGCAGTTCTTATGTAGGCAAAACTCCACTGAAACCAATAACCATGTTCTTAAAGGAAGGTGTGCTCATCTTTTTAAATATAACTATAGCTTCATTCACTTAAAGTACCTCAGTCCTCTTAGAAGATGAGCAATGCTTTGTTATATAGACTTAGTTTGGAGCAAGCAGTCTTCATGTCCAATCCACTTGTTGACTGGGACAGAAATTGACATGGCAGAATTGTTTTCCAGTGTGTGTAATGACAGTACAATCCTGGTCAGCCAGGCACATACTCATTTCAAGTTACTCACTAGTTATGGTTGCTAGAATGAAGTGTAGTATTCTGAGCTCTTAATCTCTTTTCCAAATTTAATGCCAGATATTAGTTCTACTGAAATTAATGGGGAATGGGAAAAAGTATCGTTATCCTTTTTGAAAAACAGATCTCAAATCTTTTTATAATGTTCACTACTTTTTTCACGGTGAACCATAAAAAAAAGGAAAATCTTTAACAAGGGGCTATAAGCTTTTTCCACCCATAAGAAAATTGGTAACTACAATATATTTGAAAACCTTTGAAATATTATGAATGTTTTTCTCTTTAATGCTTCTCTCATTCACCTGTTTCAAGCACTGTGGCTGTATCATATCAGGTGAGACTGAGTGCACCTAGTGGGCTCGCTGACACTTAGGACAGCTGAGTGTTTTGTACCTGTCCTTCTCTACAAACAATCCACAAAAATTTAAAACAGAAAGAAAACCCACTGCTGCCATTCAGCAAGAAGTTTATTACGAATCCCTAGGTGGCATAGAAAGCATTTAGACTCATTTCATTCACATGTCAGGTGAAGACTTTCATTTAGAAGTGAGATGAATGCTGAATAATGGATCGTTTGAATAATGTAATTAAGAATTCATTAAAGCAACCCTTAAAATAAAATCTCCAAAATGCAATGCATGTATATATTCCCCGTCTAATGTACCAGAGAATCAAACGAATGAATGGAACATAATATAATACCAATGTTTACAAAATTCTAACATTTAAATTAAATGAACTCTCAGTATAATACAATATATAATTTTTAATGGCTTCTGAGTAGGAACAATTAGGATTCTTGAAAGAGATTGGTGTCCTTGTTAGGAGTAAAATAAAAGTATCCAAATTAATGATAGTGTCTCTAAGTCTGGCTTTTGCAATACACATTTCTTGAAAATCTTGACTCAACTGAAGTTTACTGAAACTATCACACTTTGTTTCCTTCAACATTTGTATGTCTAGTTTAAGAAAGCATGGATAAAAAAAATAAAAATAAAAGCTGAAAAAAAAAAAAGGTCTTGTTCCCCAGCTTTCCAATCTTGGGCAGAGTGACCACAAAATGGTAGAGTTCTCTATTCTTGCTGAAGTCAGGAGGGGGATAAATAAAACCGCAGTCTTGGACTTCCAGAAGGCTGACTTTGAGCTGTTCAGGACACTGGATGGTAGAGTCCCTTGGGAGGTGGTTCTGAAGGGCAGACGAGTCCAGGAAGGCTGGGCACTCTTGAAGAAGGAAATCTTAATGGCGCAGGAGCGGTCTGTCCCCACATGCCCAAACATGAGAAGAAGAAGACTGGCCAGACTGAACAGAGTGTTGTGGCTTGAGCTTAGGAGAAAAAAGACGGTTTATAATCTTTGGAGTACAGGGCGGGCCACTTGTGAGGACTATAAGGATGTTGCGAGGCTGTGCAGGGACAAAATTAGAAAGGACAAAGCTCTTCTGGAGCTCAAAATGGCTACTGCCATTAAAACTAACAAAAAATGTTTTTACAAATACATCAGTGCTAAACGGAGGGCTAAGGAGAATCTCCAGCCTTTACTGGATGAGGGGGGGGGAACTTAGTTACAAAAGATGAGGAAAAGTCTGAGGTGTTTAATGCCTTCTTTGCCTCAGTCTTCAGCGGCAAGAGCAGTTGTTCTCTAGATACCCATTGCCCTGAGCTGCTGGGAAAGGATGGGGAGCAGGAAGTGGCCCTCACAATCCACAATAAAATGATTGGTGACCAGCTACAACACACGAACCTGATCTCCTTCTATGATAAAGTGACACGCTGGGTGGATGAGGAAAAGTCTGTGGATGTGGTCTACTTTGACTTCAGCATTCTCTGTGAGAAACTGGCTGCTCTTGGCTTGGACTGGCGTACGCATTGTTAGGTTAAAAACTGGCTGGATAGCTGGGCCCAAAGAGTTGTGGTGGAGGCCGGTCACTAGTGGCGTTCCCCAGGGCTCAGTACTGGGGCCAGTCCTCTTTAATATCTTTACTGATGATCTGGATGAGGGGATCGAGTGCACCCTCAGTAAGTTAGCAGATGACACCAAGTTAGGTGCATGTGTCGATCTGCTCAAGGGTAGGAAGGCTCTGCAGGAGGATCTGGAAAGGCTGAGGTCAACTGTATGAAGTTCAACAAACCAAGTGTCAGGTCCTGCACCTGGGGCACCTGGGGCACAACAGCCTCAAGCAGGCTGGCAGATGTGTGGTTGGAAAGCTGCCTGGCAGAGCAGGACCTGGGAGTATTGGTTGATAGTCAGCTGAATATGAGCCAGCAGTGTGCTCAGGTGGCCAAGAAGGCCAACAGAATCCAGGCTTGCCTAAGAAACAGTGTGGCCAGCAGGGCTAGGGAAGTGATCATCCCCCTGTACTCGGCTCTGTTGAGGCCACACCTCGAGGACTGTGTTCAGTTTTGGGCCCTCACTACAGGAAGGACGTGGAGGTGCTCAAGTGAGTCCAGAGAAGGGCAACGAAGCTGGTGAGGGGTCTGGAGAACAAGTCTTACGAGGAGTGGCTGAGGGAGCTGGAATTGTTCAGCCTGGTGAAAAGGAAGCTCTGGGGCGACCTGATTGCTCTCTACAGGTACATTAAAGGGGCTGTAGCGAGCTGGAGATTGGTCTATTCTCCCACGTGTCTGGTGACAGGACGAAGGGGAATGGGCTAATGTTGTGCCAAGGGAGGTTTAGGTTGGATATTAGAAAGAACTTCTTTACTGAAAGGGTTGTTAGGCATTGGAATGGGCTGCCCAGGGAAGTGGTTCAGTCACCATCCCTGGAGGTCTTAAAAAGACGTTTAGATGTTGAGTTTAGTGATATGGTTTAGTGGAGGACTGGTTAGTGTTAGGTCAGAGGTTGGACTAGATGATCTTGGAGGTCTCTTCCAACCTAGACAATTCTGTGATTCTGTGATCTCTAGCAAAGCTGCTCTCTCCCGTGAAATGTCTTCCAAGGCTGTCTCTATAAGCCACTTATCCCACCCAGTCACTGAAGACACCTTTATCTTAACGTCACGCCAAACTGGACTGTGCCAGAATGTGTTCTGAATATGTAATTCAAACAAGCACTGAGTTATCCACCCAGCATCTGTCGAGGGACTGCCTAACTAGGAAAAAACAGTGATACAGGTGCTCTGGGAGTGTGTTCTCCACTCCTGTCAGTGAGGAATCTGAGGCAAGAACTGCAAAGTGCAGGACCATCTTTCCTGAAGTTAGACTTCCTGCATCATCCTCCAACTGGTCCATCAGGAAGACAACATTAAGAATCAGGATTTTGAAGTAAAGTCTTAGCTTTTTTTTTCATGCTTAGCTTGAATTTGACGATGAACTTGGACTATTAGAGGGTAAAGACTTGATCCAATTTGTGCAGGTGGATGTGTGCAGAGGGACAGGGCTGGTGGTTTCATGGGTCTTGACCTCTGGCATTCAAGAATAGGAGTGTCAAGGAAAAGATACATTTAATGATGACAGAAGCCCTTGATTATGCATAAGTGACTGAAATCAGACTGAAAGTTAAATGTCTGACTAAGAATCTAAGCACACAAGATATTTATGTGACTGTTGAATGGCTTAGACTACATGCCTAGGTTTTACACAGCCAGAGTTAGTTAAGATGAATTTCATTTAGGTTTTCTTCAAATGAGGGAAAAAAGAAAGAAAGAAAAAAAGGTAATAAGGTAATGAGTGAATTGAAAAAGCTGTTATGTTGACAAGAACAATAGTAAACCTAGAAAAAAATATTAAGAAGGATAAGTGCCTTCACTTCATTTAGGGTTATCTGTTAACTAATGCAAACGCCCTTCCGGTACTCATATAACTTTTTTTTTTTTTTTTTTGGTAGAAAATGTAGTTTATAGAAAGCAGGGGTCGGTAAGTCCAGGATGTCTTAATTCTCCTGTTCTCTGTTATAGCTGTTTGGCACAACATTGGAGACCCTCAAGAACTCAAAGAACATTGCCCTGCATTTTTAGAGTGAAGTATTATGACGTATCAGATGTTTTCAGCTGTTCTCAAGCAGGTCACTTTGATCATTTGTCTCTACTGTCCCACAATAAGAACACAATCACAATTCTACAGGCCTCAGACAACAGAGATGGTGGCAATCCCCTTAGCTTATCTCTTTTCTCCTTACAGAAACATATGCAGAGATGCAGGAGCCAAATCCATTCTGCCATCAGTACTTGTAGTGAAGCTGAATGAAAAACCTCCCATTTCAGCAACCTCTGGCAATTTTATCTATCAAGTTTCTCAGAACTGAAAAGCATGGTCTCAATACAGAGGTCACCCAGGAAGCAGGACGGGAAAAAGAACAAAACAGACTTCATTTCAACAGCCCATGGCAGGAAACCTATTAAAGAGCCAAAATTGATAAACAGAGATTTTATCACACTTGTAGCTAGACAGGGCTGAGATGTTTCATGGATACAACTCATTTTCTGTGCCTTCCCTCCAAAAAAAAAAAAAAAAAAAAAAAAAATAATAATAATAAAATAAAATAAATAAAATAAAATAAAATAAATAAAATAAATCCCCCAAATAAAATTAACTTCAATTGGCATTATTACTGGACAGCTTTACCTTACATGGGAATATCACAGAATCACAGAATCACAGAATTGTCTAGGTTGGAAAAGACCTCCAAGATCATCTAGTCCAACCTCTGACCTAACACTAACCAGTCCTCCACTAAACCATATCACTAAACTCAACATCTAAACGTCTTTTAAAGACCTCCAGGGATGGTGACTGAACCACTTCCCTGGGCAGCCCATTCCAATGCCTAACAACCCTTTCAGTAAAGAAGTTCTTCCTAACATCCAGCCTAAATCTTCCCTTGGCACAACTTGAGCCTGTTCCCCCTCGTCCTGTCACCAAGCACTATATATATATATATATATATATATATATGTGCGTGTGTGTGTGTGTGTGTGTGTGTGTGTACTGGTGCATGAAGCCTCTTGAACTTAACTTTTCTCCAGAACAGTAAGTTATTCTGTGTATCTGCTGACTGTGTTTAGCACTGACCCCCAAATTTAACGTAATCTATTTTATCCACTTTGCAGGAGACTAGGAGTGCTCACAGAAATGACAATGACATCTCAGTTGATTAGTGAAAATTTCCAGCAGTCACTTTTAAAGTACTTTAACTCAGTGGCTTGCAATTATCAAACCATATTCAGGTTTTCAGTCTGCACAGCCACTCACTGAACTTCTCTTTACCCCTACTTCTTTACTAATGGAGCAAGTTAGCATACTCTAATGCTAAATTCAGTATATTTCATAAAGCATTTTATGAAGTTATTCTGAGAGAAGTTACTACAGATGCAGTAGAAAGTGTTCTTACTGCAGTGTCTCTTCTGGTGGGCAGAACAATCATTCACTGAGAAATTTGAGGGGAGGATCAGAAGTGTCAGAAGGAAAGTAGACAGCTGCCAACACAACCACTTCCAAATTGCTCTTCTAAGTAAGACAAAGCAGGTCATTTCTTTAAATCATTCCTCTCACAGAGAAGTCTCTGCCATTGCTATATAAGAACCTTAAGGTTATTGCTTTGCTGTTTGGGAACCTACAGAGCCTTAAGCTCAGACCACATGGGCCTAATGGATGATTCTGCCCTGAAGGGGAGAGTCCGTAGTTTCATTAGGAACTAGAAAAAAAGGCTGTATTCAATGGCAGTCCCCTGATGTCACTTGTAGTTAATCAATTGCCATATGTGCCAATCAGGGTAGGTTGAGCTACAGGCAACTCTTTTTATTTATGGCTAAGAGACTGGGAATAGCCTATGCAGCTGGGAAGCCAAGCAGACCTAAGGATTTTCCACAAGCAGGCAGTCAAGGAGGCAATTTATTGAGGGAAAGACCCCAGAGCAAGAAATTAAAAAAAAAAAAAAGTAAAATAAGGCAGTGATATGTTTTACATTACAGATTTTCTCTTGGTATGGGTATCAGCTTTTGAATATTTCAGTAACGTTACATCTCATCTCTCATCTACATATCCATTGAGAAGTGTTCAGCAGAAATTGCCCTTTGTTCTGCAGCACAGAATTAAACTGACTTGCAACTCACTGCCATACTTGGGTCCTGAAAACTAAATATGCTTTGTGATGATTTTAGAATGGCCTAATCTTTACTCTTGTCAAACTAAACTGCAGAATTATCATATGAAACTTTTTCAAATGTCCAGGTTAATCACACATGACAATCAATCTTTTATTCTAACCAATAGGGACAATCTGTTTTATGCACTTTTGAGGGTAAAAGGGTTATTTAGCAGTTGAATTCTATGATTTGTGACACTTGTTTTGAATTACACATCATCTTGTCCTGGGAAACCACTAAAAATGAGACATGGTGCTGTCTCCTCCAGAGGCATCTACTTTTCCCTTCTTCTCCATGTGCATCTTTGTCTAAATTTATGTTTATATATCATATCCATATAAAGATCATCTTCTTGACAGTTTACTCACCTAGGCACTAGGGAATATACAACACACTTGACATTGGCTTGATGTAGTGATACAGAATAAGTTAGAGCCAAAAGTTAATATCGAGAAAGAGTCACTACCAGCCATTCATTCTAGCAGTCATAACAAGCAACCTGTCAATTGCAAATACATAGGGTAAATGTTGTTTGCATTTTAAATTGATTTTACTTTAGAAATACATGTAACTGTTCCCAACATTAAATTAACAGAGTTCTTCATAGACACCAAGTTTTCTATATACTAAAAGATGTATCTTTAACTTTTAGGTTATATTCACAGTTACTGTTAAGAAAATGTTAAAATAATGGTGGGAACAGTTCCCCATGTTTCTAAAGTGAGAAGGACTGCTTTAATTCCCCACTAGCCCAGATTCTTCTTCCACAGCTCCATAGCCTACATTACAGGAGAATGCCTGGTTTGGCCAAGTCACAGCTTGAATGCTTCTGAAAAGAGACTGAGGGCAGAAGATATATATACATATATATGTAAATATATGCATTACTTGCTGTATACATACGTTTTAAAGAATAATCTGCACATTGTTTGACTGGCTGTTAGATTTCTATTTTTTCTTTATTTACATATATGCTACAAATATATGCTGATATATGCTCAGCAAAGCAATGAAATCCATGCCCATCTTTAAATTGTCTGTCCTGTGCAGGAGGCTTCAACCTTTTTACAGTTTAGAAATAATTGGCATTAGCGGCTCGTCCCATACTAAGGTCTATTTCATCTGCATAAATAGTAGTATATTTAAAGATTCAGACCAACTTTCCACTTAAGTAAGAATGGCTATGTGAACATGTGAATAGTCCCATCATGAGAACAAACGATTTCAACATTCATGTCTCTGCAAGTGCTACCAGTTCACTGAGACAAGGATTCACATATCACAATATCACAACAGAGGTAGCTGAACTTCTACTAGACAATTAACACTTCTATAAAGAATAAAATAAAATCTACATTTAAGGCCATTTTGCTCTCATACAGAGAATATGCTTTTACATTAGGGAGGTTCGTCCATTGCATCAAGATCCTTGAAGAATAAATGAAGAAATACTTGCTGTAATTTACATGGTAAGTATTGCCAAGGAGACAAAATGGTTTTCCTTGTACATTTCAGCCTTGTGTTAGGCTAAAAACCATAAAAGTCTTACAAAATACTGCAATTCCTCCTGTGTTTTTTTTTTTTTTTTTTTTTTTTTTTTCCTCCCCATAACCTCATTTTCTACCCCTTCTTCATTTCTCACTTGTTGAAAGGAAAGTAAAAAAGAAATGTTCATATAGACAACCAGTAGGATGCCAGAAAGGGCCTTTTTCAGTCAGAAATGGTGTGGTGCCCTCTGGATAATCAATTGTCCCTGTAACACTTTAGGATTTTTCATGCACTGAGATGCAAACTGAGCAATTTCTTCTTATTTTTTTTTTTTTCCCCTATCTAGTTTGTTAATACTGGGTAGGCAATTGGACAGTGGGGCCTCCTCATTCTTGGCACTATTTCAAACACAACTTGAAATGCCCTGACAGCAGTTCTTCTTACAAAGTAACGTTAAGGTTGTGACACAGGCCAACAAAAGGCTGACACACTGTCGTTAGCTTACCCTGTTGTGCTTAGGTAATGGTGGAGCCTCAGATCTGCGTGTGATGTTAGCATTATATGTTCTTCAATAACAAGGCACCAGAGGATGAATTGAATGCAGAATGTCATCTTTAACTTTGAATTTCCAAGTTTAGGCTGGCTTCTTTCTTTAGAATAAGGACTGACTCTGCATTAATTATACAAAACCATTGATAGTAAATATATTAGTTTCTCAGAAGTTGTTATTATTTAAGTGCAATATTTTCAAAATAAAAATGTTTCATAAAATCTCAATACTAAAGTCACTTAAGTGTTCTTTTACATAGTTATCCTGATGTATTAAAAATCCTGGCCATGAGCTGGCATCCACAATCACATTTCCCACCTGTCCAGCAGTGTTCAAAACTGGGATTTTGTTTGAAAATACATTTCTGGTTTTAACTACCCAAAACCCCACTATAAATTGTTTCCCTTATAAATTTCATGGGACAGTTAATCCAGATCTGGAATTTTGGGGCTGTGTTTCAACACAGACATGGTAATATAATAAAAATAATTAGATGGAGTACAGCACAAGTAATACCCTCATATTTTTGTAAAATTGGCTAATATCAATCACTGTGTAAACCACTCCTGCCTGTTAATGCTTAGCAGTTTCCAGTGTCTGTAAAAAGAGAACTCATATGTTTCTTTGTAATGCCAAAGAAAAATTGGCTCCTCAGAGATAACATATTCAGTATTTTTAGACTCTCCAGTTACTTTAAATCAAAGTATTAACAGTGCTTCTCTTCTTACATTCACTGTTAGTATGTTGTTTCTTTCCCCCTCCCCCCCAAAAAAGTCTTTAACTCTGTTATTTTTATGCACTTATATAAACATGCTAAAGAAATGCAATTTTGCAAGCTTTTAGCTGAGCTGATTTCTTTGAGACTAGAATCATACATAGACTTAAATTTTCTGGATCGGGTGATGGTAGCTAAACATAGCACACCCACATGTTGTTTTTCAAAAAGGGGAAGAATGCCATTCATTTCACTGCCAGGTCTTAGGTGATTTAATAGTCATTTGAGGTCCTGTGTCTGGGAAGAAAAAGCTCACATCTTTCAGAATCGCTTTCCTGGAACCTTCTTTTCTTCTTGTGTTAACATTACATTATATGAATGAGGTATAAGCTTTAATTCCTGTAGTAGGTACTCATTGTTCAGAAAGTTTGCAGTCAGAACAAGTGAAATTTGCTTTGTGAGCTCCCTGTGGGAACCAAATGACAAGCTCTGTCTTCTCCATGAGAGGAAATATCTGGCATGATATTATCCAGTGCCTGAGACAACAATTTTCATCCTTACCTTTTATCTCTTTACTCCTTCCTCAGAAATCTTGGGCAATCTGTAGCAAACATCTTTCATCTGTGACTCTTGATCCTAAAGCAGTTGAGAATAAATGCTGTTAAAAAGAGTTTAGCAGAGTATCCTGTAGGATTAGGTCCTTTAAGATAGGGTCAGCCTGGAGGAGATGAGGGAATTTTCGTTCTCCCCAAGAGAGAAGAAGTTAGGTTGGAATTTGACAAATGTTGACATCTACATCTGTGCAAGTCCTCTTTGGCTGCCTTTATAGTCAGTGGAGAGAAACTGGCACTACTGGGGTGCAGTTAATGTCATCCTTAGGTAGAAGTCTAATATAAGTCAGATAAATTCTGCCCTTCCATTTCCTGCTGGGACAAGTTCAGATTAATTCAGATCCCACTTGAAGATAGATGGAAAACTTCCACCTTTAAAGTTATATACTCTGCCCTAAAAACACTAGTGTAAATAAGGACTTCTGAATTCATCAGAGATGAAAATTTTGCAAGAATTCTGATTCTGTGTGTAAATAAAATTGAGGTCACAAAAATTACAGTACCAGTATTCATAAATATTGTCTCACATAACTTGCCCCCCTCAGGTAATTGAGACAAAATCAGACATGGAAGCACTGGCTAATCAGAAACACAGGGGTTATTAATGTATATGGAGCATGGCACAGAGGTCTGGGGAAAAAGACTTATTGGGAAAAAGAAAATTAAAGGAAAAAAAAAAGAAATATGGTCTCCTTTCATCATATCCATAGTTTTTTATAATAATCTCTGTTGTAGCATAGAGTCTGGCTTGTTTGTTTTAGAAATAACCCCTTTTTTGTGCATAAGAAAATATATTAAGTATTCTAAAGCTGTTTCTTTTTCTTCTCCGTGTAGCAGAGAGTCAGGGGTCAAATTCTCAACTGCTGTAATCCCCACTGGAGTTATTCTCATTCATTATTGAAATGGGCTTGATCCTGGGCTCATGTAAACTGGCATAGCAGTATTGAAGCCAGTGGAAATGTGTCAATTTTTTTTTAGTAGAAGAAAACCTGGTCCTTGAAATGCAGTAATTTTAACTAAGCTTAATGCTCCAGGCCAAATTATTTTTAGTATTTAGCAATGTCTGGCTTTTCCTTTACTAATCTATTTTATCACCATTCAGTGTACTTAAAAAGAAAAATCCCTGCAGTAGTGTTATATTAGTGAGTGGCAAAAACAAACAAAAACCAAACCAAAAACAAAAGCAAAACAAAAAAAAAAACCACCACCACCACCAAAAAAAAACAGCCTCATTGCTTGGTTTCACTCTTTGCCCAAAATTATTTATATATTACTCTGAGGATGATATTTTGCCATACAAAACATCTCCTTTGTTTAGTAACAGCAGCAGATTCCACAATACCTTTTTTTTTTTTTTTTTTTTTGTCTTTTTTAACAGTAAAAGACACTATGGCATGCAGAGCATCCCAGTGGAATAATGCACTGGTGCAAAGGAGCACTAAATCAAATGATAAATTGAGTGTAACATCAATTATGTTAGCTATGCATAGAAATATATACATTTGATGGTCATTATGACATGTGAATGTTCAAGACGAAAAGTGAAAAATACATTTCAAGTTCTGCATATGTGAAAAACTGACAATGATCTGTAATTTGCGTCTAGCATTAAATTCTATAAATCTGCTGGTGTTTTCAGCATTGAAAGCCTGATTCTAAATGGAAAGGTCATTATCATTATTAAGTTTTATAAGAAAATCAGTACGTGTACTAGTATCTATTTAATAACTGAGACATCATGAATGTCAGACTTAACACACTTTGCTGGGTGCTAATAACTCTTTAAGTGTACCCTTGACTCGAGTCGAAGGCAGTATTGAAATTTTTATATTATCTGAACGGCCTGGTAACATTTAAAAGTACTTCTATAATAGCCAGGTAAAAATATAGTGACTTTACACAACTTTACCTAATTTTGCTCCTGTTTTAAAGGTTAAGCTAAACTTGCAGCCCCTTTGCATAAGAACTGGATGTGCAGGCAGCTGAGTCACAGTGGACCTGTCCTACTTAACTATTCCCTCAATTTTATTGGAGTATATTGTGCTTCCTGAAAAAAAGTATGTGTCAGTAATGACAACAAAATGAAGCCTTTTGTACCCAAAATAAGTGCCTGGCAAAACAATATTTGCATCAGTGTCAAAATTGCTTTTTGAAATGTCTTAGTGGAATGGTGCTGTCTCAATATAAAATATGCATTTATTCAATATTTTTTAAACTTTTGTAATTCCCACATTATATTATCTCTAATTCAAGTGCAATGATAAATTGATGCAGCTTGTTTCTTTTTTCTATTATATATTTAAATTAAAAATTGGAAGATGTAGTTTCTTTTAATGACTTTTGTAGGGGTCTTTTAGTATTATGTCCCTAAGCAAGTTCCTTACTTGATGCGAAGTCCTCATAAGAGGTGCTTGTGCACTTGATTAATTCATAAATGGTGTTGAGGGATGTATATTTGCACAACTCTTGTTAAATCACAGAAGTTTGCTATTTCTCTGTAGGATGTATTGCAAATTGTCACCCATATTATGCACCAATCTCATACAAAACTACAAGTCCCAGATTTTCCAAGTATTCTTATTTATGCAACTTCCTTTTCCCATGGTAAAGGTTAACCTTGGCTACATTTATATTGATTCTGAAGTAAAATAAGCAGACAAAAATAAGTGGAGTATACAGTTGGCTGAAAAAATAAGATTAACAAAAGTACATGACTAGCCAAAAATATCAGATAGTTTCATACCACTGAAGAGGGCTTTCAGCAACTAATACAAATTCAATACTGACCTACATAAGATATGATACAATTAATGTATCTGTAGAATTTTACCCAAACTTTGGGATGGGAGGCTGGCTAGTTATAGTTGTCTGTGAAGGTTGCAATAGCGTTTCCTAACTGGTAAAATGTAAATCTACTAGAAGAATCAGCAGTGAGTCCAGAAGTTTCTTCCAACTAGTAGGACTGGACTAGTAGAGTTGTTTTAATGAAAACAAGAGCACCAATCTCTTATCAACATCAGTTGTGTATTCACCTACAGTTAAGAAACTGCTTTAACAGTTCCCTTTAGGGAAGGGAACAGAAATGGGTGAAACCACTACCATAATACAGAAAGCCAGACTGCTGTTGTCTACATACTGCAATATGAAACTGGACCTCATGCATTTCTGTGGAAAGAAGATGACAATTGTTAACTGATTGTTTTGCTAAATACGCGCCCATTAGAAAGATGTGACTTGTTCCACTTAATTTGTTAGTATTGATACCACAGCAGGAGCTTTGGTGCCCTCTGTGAGTGCAAAAGCATAAAAACGAATGGATATTTTTTTTCCCTCTAAGTATGTGGGCCTTCAAATGTCATTTAATTCAGAAACCAACAGAAAATATGACTCCGTAACTTTGCACCCAAAGATTTTTACCTCAGATAAGAATATCTGAGGTTCTCACTCCTCATCTGTACAGTAAGTCCACTTTATGTATTTTTTTTTTTTTAATTTATTTTTGATGGTAGTAGTGCGAGCAGGGGAGGAGGGAACGCATAAACGATCCTTAAGGAACAAAAAAGAAAGAGGAGTTTCTAGGATGTTTTTTAGTTTATATTACGCATTTTATTTTCTGGCTTTTCACTTCTCTTGATGTTATTACAGGACAGAGAATTCAAGAAAATATGGCAGCACCCCAGTGGTATTTAAGTGAAAGACAGAAGCTTAGCATGGTCAAGACTTCAAGTCCTTATGTACCAATGGCTAAGACTACCTTGGAAGTATATTTCCACATTGCACCATTTTTCTCCCTCTACTTTTGTGCTTAAAATATATGAGTTTGAACTTGCTTTTAATCTGTGCTGATTTTCTTTTTCTGGTCTAATTATGGACAGAAATTTGGTTGTAAATTACACTGAAAAAAAAAAAAAGTTCTCACTAAAACAAACAAAACAACAACAAAAAACCAACCCTGCATTAGATACTTTACCTCAAAGATGCAATATATAAGCAAGATGATCAGTTAATTTATTTATTGTTATTAAAAAAAAAAAAAGACAAATTTGATAAATGGAATTGAAATAGTTCCAGCTTTTTGTGTCTTGTGTCAGAAAATGTGAAAGCTGGCTAAATTGTAGAGGCTATATTCAGGTGAAGTCTATAGGATGGGCCTAACTTTGAGCTCATGAACAGCTGCATTCACTCAGGTGAGACTGCTCAATTGCTCAGAGACATGTGTGTGAATAAGGTACTTCACCAAATCAAGGCCATTGTGCAAGAAGAATGCAGTGTCAGTGTATAACAACCGTGCTCCCCAGGAAGGAACTTTTTTTTATGTGAAAAAGAAGTGTTACTACAGAGGCTGCGTATGATAGGGCTGTGCTGTGTTCTTTGTTTCAACCCACTAGGGTGCTGTCTTTTCCCATATTATTATTATTGCATGCTCTGCAGTAATTTAACATCTCAGAAAGCTAATAGTTCTTCTTAAATTGTAGCCTGCATACCATTACTGTTAGTTGCGGTAGAGTGCAAAGTCTATTTGCACACTATACATCCTATAATGTTTTTTTTTCTTTTTCTTTTTCTTTTTTCTTTGCAAATCAGAGAACATCGGTGGAAAATAGTTTATGCCCAATGTCTCAGAAGTACTGGATCAAGTTCAGCCTCTGAGGTATGCAAAAAAATCTCTTTGCAGTTGTTGGGTGATGCTTCTGCTTATATCAGTAATGAGGTATCAGATATAGTCTGTTGCATAAATAGCACCATAGATACTTCAGAAAGGGGAAGAGCACAGTCCCTATTGCATCTGCTTTGTGCTACCTCAATAGTATAAAGAAACTTAAAGCTCCTTTGTGTAAAAGTATATACAATGAAGGTACAACACTGACAGTTTTATACCCCCATCAGAAAATAGAGTTTAATAGGGGAAATGGGCAAAGATACTATTTTACAGCCTTTTTAGTGCTACCGTAGTACAGTTTAGTTGTAAGGGCATGTGTGGAAAGCTATACTATGGACTTCCAAAGGGAGCTTACAGCTAGCTACTTTTACATAGAGTAGCCAGATCACTCAGCCTGTGATTTGAGGGGGCTTCAGTTGTACATGTCCAGACAGTGCAGCAGGGGCTGTGTGCTTTGGTTCCTCTGCTAATACCATCCGACAAGGTGCCCTGGGGGTGCCTGCTGGGATGTTGGATGTTGCTACACTCTTGAATGGTCAAGCTTCAGTTTTACGAGTCACCAGACGGATGGAAAATTAAGCCAAACGCAACAAGACCTGCACTTAGCAAAATTAAAAGGAGCTGACATCCTGTTTAACTGCTTTCACAGAGATCCAACAGAGAAATGAACACAAATTAGGAACTTCTAGGACAAAAACAAAACTGTGGTCCCTATACTGACAGAATCAGGCTGTGATCCTGCTCTAAATTTCCATGAAAACTAGAAAGTGTAGAAGTGTAATACTGAATGATTATTTGCATTACAGGACAGGCCTGACATGAATACCAAGTAATGACTGATGAGCAAGAGAAGGCTTCAATGACTGCTCAGATCAGTTGCCCTGGTGCTTTAATCTGGGATCAGCACATGAAGAGCTGTATTTGAATGTGAGCTATGTTTCTGTAGAGCTCTAGAATTTATTGTGTGGTCTATACTCCACTGGCCGGGGAAAAAAAAAATTCATATCCTGAGTTTCAGTGGTCTTCGACATGGCCACAGCCTATATTCCAGACTACTTTGTCAGCTGTATACTGAACATCTTAACATACTCCTGAGATGTCCTTGAAATAAAAGCCACATCATAACTTTCATGGTGAATTATGCTGCTGTAGCTAAACTTTTTCTAGTACTTGTAGTTAGGGTGTGTTCAGGTTATTAATTTAGTGCGTTGTGAAGCGTAAGTTTGTTATGTAGTGGGGATATTGTTGGTACACCCAGAACAGTTTCCCTCCTAGTGGAATCAAAGCAGAAACAATGCATGGGGGTAGTCCTCTGACATGCCCCATTGTAATGTCCACACAAGATCTTCCAGCATTTAACTCCTTGTATGTGCAATATGTGCCTGGGACAGGCAAACGGCCTGATTGTCATTGCCAGTAAAGGTATTACGTGGTCACAGGGTCCTAGGGCCAGCACCATATGGCAATGTGGGTATGTCCATAAAGCTATTCCAAGTTACTCTGTACTTCAGCTTGCAGTGTGATTGAGTAATGGAATGGACTGGCAGTTACTATCTCTAATCATTGCTGTTATATCACCTCTGCATCCAATAAACAAGTGCTTCCTCTTGGGAGAACATATTCCTTTCAGCTATCCTTTCCTACACTGCCAGGCTAGACAAGCCTCCTGGTGATGAAGGATGACTACCTTTGTTCATTCTCACTGGCTAGTCCCAAATGATTAAGATATGGTGATTTAGTCTCAAATGCCATTAATGTTTTCTATGTGACAGAGCAAGGCAATGTGGCAATGTTAAAATTAGCAAATAGCGTGGAGCAAAAGGAGCAAATCTCCAGAATAAAAACAGCTGGTTCTGAGGACCTAAATTCTTCACCATAGACACCTGTTTATTTTTCACTTCAGATTATCCCTTGTTTGATCTCATAGGTTGAACTCTCATTTGTGGCTGGATAACATTAGGTATGCTTCTGGATATGCCTTGGAGTACTGTGTAAAGTTACATGGTCTTTGAATGTACCTCACAGGCATGGTGGTAACTAGATTTTTTTCTCTATCTAATCACCAATCTCAAAATTTTGCTCTTCTCAGACAATATCTCCAGTTATCTCAGACCATGTGTTTTGATGATGCAAATAACTGGAAAAATAAAACTGAGGGAGTGAATGTTAAGCCAAATATTTAAAGAATAATCTCGCAACTTTCCATGTGCATTTTCCTCTCCCACCAAACATTCCCTATTTTAGCTAGCTTTTGGCAACTCTCAGTTATCAGTACTGGATTACAGAAAATTTAATCCAGTGTGAGTGATCCATCCCAAAATGCACAATTTTTTCCACAAATAGTGGAAATAGGAATGTCTATATATCTCTGTGTCTTGGAGTATAACTGTCCAGTCTATTATAGAATAAGATTAATTAGATAAACTTTGAATTTGTCCAGAAGAGCATTTAATTCTGAGGATGAAGCAAGAGAGACAAAAACGCAAGAAAATTCTTGGCTCTCCTAAAGTCAATGGGAGCTTTCAGAGGAGCCAGGACTTCATCCTGTATGTTTTGTTTTTCTTCAGATGTCAGTTACCTGCATACAACATAAATACGATGTGGTCAGAGAAGTGTACAGTGAATGGCTGAAACAGTTAACAAAATCAATAAATGTGGGGAAAGTAGATGAAAACATAAACCAGACTGAGATATTTTTTCCAGACCAAGATTTTTAAGTCTTCTGTATTTTGTCATTTGTTAAACCACAAATAGTTATAAACAGAGCTGCAGTTCAGAGAGTCTTTGTTTCTAACATAAACAAGGTATAGGGCATAGCTCTGTATGTCGGCCAAACATGACTATAAGTTACAAAAATGATATATATGTATAAAAGAAGTGTCAGACCCTAATTGAAAAATTATATTTGGACATGAATAAATATAAGGAACTCACTTAACTCCAGAAATGCAGTAAGTATTTAACAGAAAATAACCCATATTAACACATGTATTATGTTTTTATTTTTTTCTGTGAAATTAATTTAATTTAATATACTAAAACTCAGAAACTGCGTTTGCATCATTAAAGTATCAATATGCATACTGAAGTTTGTCTGTCCTTGTTGAGAAACCTTATACTTTTAAACATACTGAACACACACAAGTTTTGTAGACCTAGGCGCAGAATAGCATACTATAGGAAATTTGATTAAATATACAGCAAAATTATTTTTTTAGCAGACATGCTTTGCATAGTCATTAATAGTCATGACATTTTTCACTAAAAATGGACACAATTCTTAACAACCAGGTCACATTATAAAACCCGAAATCTGTAAAGAACCCACTTAAATACTGATTTTTTCACTTAATTCACTTCTTCCTAAAGTAACATTTTCTGAACATCATGAATACTGGCTTTCAAGTCGTGATTTTAAATTCTTTTACAGTTTTATATTTAGTTCTAAAAAGCAAGCAAGCCCTTGGATAGCCACATTGGCCCACAAACGTGTCTGTGGTGCAAGCTGTTCCGCTGCATAGTGGGTCATGGCAGAGTCACTGCCGTAAACAACGCTGCAAACTTCCAAAGCCTGCAGAGGTCAGTATAGCGACATCAACAAGAAATTATATAGCTTCTCTGAATACATTAGCAGCCACAAATATTTATTTTTAAAATGCAAAAATGATGTATCATTCTGGCCATTACTATAATGGTGGGATTATTATGGCATGTGATGAGTTTTTCCTGCAAATATTATATGCTATTGCATATGCTAAAAGTTTTAAAGATTTATTTTTGCTTTTGTATTTGTTGATTACAAAGGGTTAAATGCTCTCCTTGAGAGCATTTGAGAAAAGTTGTTGGGTGGGCATTATGGAAAACTTCATCTCACTCTTCGGAAGCTGTCTTTTCTGTGTTGCCCTGTCAATGACCTCCACTGTGACATTGAAGGAATACCCTCCATGTGGGTGAGAAGTAATTTGCTTCAATAGCTCTTCTGCCCCAGACATGTATAAAAAAGAGACTGTAAACATATACCCCGCGTTTGCTTTGGCGCTGACTGAGCTGACACCATCAAAGTCATTTAGAGCAGAACTTTTAGACGTTTGTGACAAACTAGACCAGGACGAATGATCCAAACAGTAAATGTAAGACTCTGAACTCAGTGCAATGAAATCTCCGGGAATGAAATGAAATGACAGATAAATAGTGCTAATCAGGCACTTGAACACTACTATATTAATTGTATTTACCCTATTGGCCAGCTTTTCATGACCTGCCTGATCATGGCACTAAAAAGTGGTTGCCTTAGTGTTTCACTGCACATTTTCAACTGTGCATTAAAGAGTAAGTAGATGTTCAGAGATGACCTTGGGGCCCACAGAGAAAGATTTTGAGAGGCACAAATTAGGATTAGACCTGTGTGATTTGCTTCCTTCAAAGCACTCTACTTAGGCAGGCAAAAGTAAGTACACAGTACCCACACCATTAAATTTTGCCCACGCTGTCTCCCTTCTCCCCCCACCCTCCTCCTCCTCTTCCTCTTCTTCTCTTCTCCTCCTCCTTCCTCCTCCTCCTTCTCAAAAAAAAAAAAAAAAAAAAAAAAAAAAAAAAAAAAGCTGTTTATAAATAAAATAATTTTCTTTCTGAAATCTTAAAAAGTGCAAGGTCAGCTTTTTCCCCCGTCAATAAGCAGTGTGCGTTCCCATCTCAGCTGCCCACCATAACATTACTTTGTAAAGCTGACATTAAGGTGTTGAAATGGTTCTGTATTCAGGCTATAAACAATTTTTCACTCCCCATAGACTTTCATATAATGCAAGTCTTCATGTATTTACACCCTCGCAGTTTCTCAAATGAAAATCTGGATTGCTTAAAACTGATTAGTAAAAACATCTGAAACAGAAAGACTATCCTGAATGTGAGTGATGGATCAGACACTGCTACTTCTATTTATACATCTCTACTTGAACTTAACATTGCACACAGATCTATGGCAGTAGGAGGAGTACATTTGAACTTCCTTGGCCTTAAGAGACCTATTCTTCCCTTCATTTCTGAAATTCACATGCATATATCTATGCAATATATACAATTATATAGAAATTATGTACTGTTGATGTCTGGCATAAGTCCAAGCTGGCAAAATAAAATGATAAATGATGAAACACATCTAACTCCACTTACCGTCTCTGCAAGTCTAAGTTGTTGTACTAGTAAAGAGTCATGAAATTAGTGGTTTTCATATACGTATTAGTTGCCTTCAGGTTTTAGTTATAGCTTTCTGCTACGTGACAATGCTGTAGGTTCAGGTATCCAAAGTGTCAGGAAGATTTAATGCAGCCTCATCAACTCCCAATCAAAAACTAGCCCTGAGAAGCTGATAAGAGCCTGTTGTAAGAAATTTAATGGGTGGGAGGGAGGTCACAGAGAAAAAGTTTAAATGTGTATTAAATCCCAACTTCTACTGAAATGGCTTGTTGCCCATAGCAGCACTAGCATGACACTGAATCAAGTACCTGCTTCATGCAGTTCCTGCAAAACCAAATCTACAGTTTTCTTCCTTTGCTATGCTCATAATTATCTTTCTGAGAAAGACAAAGAAATGCAGCTCACAAACTGTCTTATATTGTATTGACATGGAGGGTTTTCCCTATAATCCATATATTTTTTACAGAGTTGTATTTTGCTGCTGAAAAGAAGGGACAAGAATGTGTGAACTATAAGTTAATACTTTTAGACAAAACAAACAAACAAACAAAGATTTTCACATAAGTTAACATATTGAAAGAGTAGAGGGAGCTTAAATAGACCAGTTAATAGAATTTTATTTTCAAAGATCATGTGACTGTGCTGGAGTAAGAAGTATTAACTTTCCTAAAATATTCACAAACTAGCTTTCTCTTTGACATTCCGTTCATGCAGGTGGATCTCAGACCAGCCAAAGCAAAAGCATAGGTAAGGGAATTTTGGTCTGAGCACAGAATAAAGTCCAGTGACTTGAAATTCCCACAATAAGACAGCTAAAGGTGAACAGCTGGTAATATAGATATTATCCTCACAACCTTGCTTCTTATTCACTTATTTCCCCCTGTGCAGTATGGCTGCAGAGTGGAGATGAAGGAGATGATCTGAGCAGAAGTGCTTTGTCCTCACTTTGCACAGACATGCTTGATGGCTTCTGGTTCTAATTAATTAAACTCAGTCCTGTAAAACAAATGAGACTTAAAATATTTCTGATTTTGGAAGGTTTGGAATAAATGTGTAAGAGAACATCAAAACCTCACTTGCCTTTTTGTCATCATCACTGTTTTTTTCATACCATCAGTGGTGTACACCAAACAAGAAAGAACTCATAATTACTGTCAGAACTTGTTGTTTAGGTCCTTTTCAATCCCTAAACATTAACAATAATACTGTAATTTTTAAGTTAATTTTTCAGTTGTCTCTTACCTCTTCTCTGAAGCTCAGGATTATTGGGCAGGGAAAGAATCCTCTAGAAAATCTACAACTCCATGAGTACATCTTTATTTCATTTAGAGCAAAGTATATTTACTGAGCCAACAATGAAATATGGAACTGTTGGTAATCCAAGGCTGGGACAAGTGTGCTAAAATATTTTCAAGAAATATTAGATCCACCATATCAGTGGCTGCCTACTAATTTCAGTAGTGCAAAATACCACATTGAGTCTGTCCTCAGGGATTCTGTAGCAGAAATCCCACTGGCTTCAGAAGAAGCAGGATAAGATCAGAGCACACTTTCTCCAGTTCCCTGGAAAGATCTTTGGCAGAAGGCAAGTAAACCCAGCCTCGGCATACAGTCTTACTTCTTCCTCACACTTGCCAAAATAATTTCTCCTTCACACCACTCCTCACTTTTAAGAGACATGTGAGAATCTACCAACAAAACAATGTAACAAAAACATTGCCTCCACCCAATGGAGGCAATGGGTGGTGTAAATATAATCAATAGTCAAATATATTCAGTATTTCTGTCTCTACCAAAAAAAAAAAAAATAAAAAAAAAGTTCAACCCAACAGACATTTGGCTAACTAGAGCTCTTAAAATCAACTACTTTCAACTACTTACGTGGTAGGTACATGCAGCTATATGGGTAGCATCCTGGGCCACACAGCAGAAATCATCATAGTCTAGATATAATAGAAAAGGTATACATTTCCTTCTTGCACTATGCAAAAAGTATCCTCATTATATATAATTAGAAAACTTATTTTCCTCCTGCTGCCCTAATTTGTTTTTTCTCTTCACTTTTAAAATTCTCCATTGGCTTTAATTAGCTTCTCTCTGCAATCACCAACCAGGTGAAATTAGAGCACTTTTTAAGTTTAAAAAATGTAGTTGGATTTTTTCAAACTTTTTTTCTTTTTTTTTTTCCTGAGCTTTATTCCCTGAGGCCAAATCTTCCATGTTCTTACTCATGAGAGTAGTGCTGTGCACTTCAGTGAGGAAGCTTTCCAGAGGAAGGCAGGTTTTGGCCCTAGTGGGATGTACCGAAGCTCTACTAAATATAGATGTAAGATATACGAGACAAATCTTCACTGAAGGAAATCAGCAGTGTTCCCCCTAAGCCAATGAAGCTAATGCATTTACAGCAACTGAAGATTTTTCCATGTGTTTTCAGACTTCACAAGTCTTCACCAAATATTTATCACTTGTGAAATGCTGTACTTTTTGCTAAAACATTTCTATTCTTTCATTTAAATGCTCATCATTATACAATCAATACCAGTGATTCAGCTTCTGCTACTCTGACAGGAGCAAATTTTGCCTAAGAGAAATCATTTGTGTGGTCTATATGACATAACATATTCTTAAATGTCTCATTGTTAATTAAGAAACAAGCTATTTAAGAAATATGATAAAATATATCATTAGCTACAAAATAATACAGCTCTGAGCTTTAAAATGTTCTACTGGAGCTCTGGAGCTAGAGACAGTCATGTCCTTGTGATATTTCAGTGACAATTTCTATTTTAAGTGTCAAAAACAACTCTGCTATCTGGAGCAAGTAGTGTAGTATTCTCTCCTTTTAATATTCTAATCGTGAGGTGTAAAGTGAAATGGTTGCACAGTGTAATGGTGGTAAAGAAGCTGAGTGTCAATGAGACGGGAAAGGTGACAGACACGGAATGAGTCCCCAAGGTGCTCTCCAAGTGCATTGGATAAAGATTCCCCTGGGAAATTTTTCTCATTAGTTCTCAGACACAGTTCAGTAATTCAATAGCACCAGGTTACCATTAGTCACAAGACCAAAATATGTTACTTTCCATGCTTTAGCTCCTTGATTTGTATATGTCATTTTATGAGAAAAAATTATGAGATTGTCTATCATTCAAAGTAAGTTCACGTGTTGTTTACATACCTGAGTATGATCCATGACAAGACTCTGACAATACTATTACCAGACCATACAAATTAAACAGAAACAGACACTTTTTTCATATATGAATTTGCATTAATGAACGATTGCATTGTACATACACAAGAGAAACATTACAGATTGATTTTCTACATTAGCACCTGAAAAATTAATTATAATTTGAGAAGCAAACCTAGAATTATCAACAAGTAAAAAGTCAAAAAAGCTGGATTGTTTCTGTGGATATTGTGAGGTTAAAATAATTTCCCTGTGCTTAAAGATGAAATGTGTATGTATTCAGTTAATATGATGTGGAAAAGTAGCTAAAAACTTTGATGGTTAGCTAATTTTATGTGTAATTACTCTGTGAAAATGTTAAACTGAATAGGTTATTCTCGACATTTTTTTCTATGCCATAAAAATGTACTTCTATGCTATCAAAGTTAACTGCACTCCCACTCAGCACTCGAAGGGATAATGGCTGGAGGTATTGTCTCTCTCATTACCCACCAGGGTGGAAAGAAAGGAGTATCCATCCCCAATGGTCATTTAAATCCTTGTTGTTATATTAAAAAGTAGTCACAATGAAACTGGAAAAAAATTAGACACCCAAGCATAACAAGTTATTATATGTTTTACCACTGCAAACAGAGGATTAGTTTGTCTTTTTATGTACCAGTGCATGTGCTCCAGAATGTTCCAATTTATTTTTCATTCTTGATTAACATATTTAGCACTCATCACTGCACCTTGCACTCATATTTAAGAGACAGAAACTACAGATAATTACTCTGCCTAAAGTAGTAAGTAGTTCATGAAAGTACAGACATTTTACCTTTTTTAAAAAAAAAAAAAATACCTTCCCTGGAAGCTTTTTCATTTTACTTCAATTTGTTTTATGGAGTGTGGTTCTTTTTTTTTTTTTTTTTCCTTTTATGAAGAGTGTACAACATTTATAAGAGAAACAAAAAAATGTTTACATAGAATTGTCTGTCTTGAACAAAAAATATTGAAATCTGTCAGTCAATAGGTGCTTCATTTTCGACCCGTCAGACTGGTGAGAGCTTGATCTTTTATTGCAGTCAGATCAAAATCGTGTACCTGAGGTGTCTCATTTAGCTTACAAAATCAACTTATTAGTAGAATTTTTTAACAAGAGGAATTATATCCCCAACAAAATTATATCTTGTGCTGTAAATAGAACTCACTGCTTCATGACTAGATTCCGATACGCTTACCATTGTACTGCAGAAAGGCCATATGTTAAGTGTTGTGGTGTCTGTGCCAAATAAATCATCAACAGCCAATTCCTATTAATCTTACTCACGTATGTTATTGCACTGAAGCTGGATGTTTTACTCCCATGATTAAGATGAGAATAGTTCTTCAGTTTCCTAGAAGTATGAACTCACCTGTATTGTGTATATTATTTTCTTCAAAGTTGTGCACTGCAGTCTCCAAATGAAGCTCTTTAAATTGAAAATGTTTCTATAACTCTTTAACACTGAGCTATTTCCAATCTAATGATCAGACTCCAAATAAATATACCAAATACTTACAGTATTATGTGCTATACACAAGCTCATCATTGACTTATGAATTGTAAATATTTATAAGTGGCTCATATTAAAGTAGTTGTCAACTGCAGCTACAGTACTTCACCTTCTGTCACTCCCAGGTATCAAGGGGGCTGATTCAATCACTCTCTTGTCAGGCTACCTTTCTTCTCCTGAATACCCAAATCCCTAAACACAACAAAATATAAATGAATGAAAAGTGCTAATGATGCATCATTACCAAGAGGTATCAAGTTTTTTAAGGTCCTTTGCTGACTAAATTTTAAATTAGCACAATTATTCAGAGCATTCCCCAAGGCACCATTCATTATGCCTAGCTGCTGAGCTGAGGCACACTGCAAACGAAATATATATTACTGTCCACATGTCTGTCTGCCTTCCTGGAGTAGGAACACATGTAATATATCCTTGAAAAGGCGAAACTCAAGCATTCATATATAAAATGGTTGTGTTTTTTTTTTTTTTGTATGGAAAGAAATACAAGTATGCATCACTACCTAAGATGTATTTATTATCCTCAAAGATCCTGCATAACATAAACAGAAACTTAGAGACTATTTTATTTAGACTAGTGTTTAATCTACTCCCTAACACAGCAGTTTTAATCTCAAGTGAAATACAAAGTCTACTGGAGCTGGGAGATAGAAAGTCTCTGATCCTGCCTAAGCCTTGCTGAAGCTTGGGCTGCACAGTGGATTCATTTCTGCTTTGGCCCTGTGTTCAGCAAACATGTCTGAGTGGGCACATCCCCGACTAAAAGTATTGGGCAGTCAGGATATCAGATCTTTTACAGTTCCCAGGAGTAATGACCTGTGTTATATCTACCATGTATGTCAAAATTTTGTCAAATTTTCCTTTTTTTTTTTTTTTTAATGCAGTAAATGAAGAGTCTGAACTCCTTGCTCATATTAGATATATTAATATTTAACAGTTCTCTGAAGGATAAGAAAGGCAACATTGACATGACAGATCCCCGAACTGTCCATAAAGTAGATCAATCTGATTCACCCAGAAGTATAGATAGTTTTATTCAATTTTATTTTTTTTATAAAACACATAGCTGTATATTTTAGAAGAATAACAAAACAACCAGTTATTACACCCACATTACAAGTTATTAAGAAAAGAGGAAAAAGCTGTGAATGCCTACATGCAAGTGATATGGGCTTACCAAACTCTTAAGGTGACAGCTCTTCTGGTAAAACCCAGTGTATATTTACTCTCAAACAGATGGAAATGGGTATATCCGCAAGAGAAAATCATTTCTGTATGTACCTAGCTGTGAAGTCCTGAGCTGCTTTTTTAGCCCAATGACATCACCACACACTAAGCCGGGCCCCACCACACAGATGTGCTTTCATGTGCAGTGATATCACTTTCACTAAAACACTAAAGGCATGACTTTCAAGCAGTTTTAAAATTCAGATCAGTTCTGCTCATATTTAATCTAGACATGTTGGTTTAACACCAAGCCAAGCCAGACCTTTTAATGTTCAGTGGCCATGATATAAAATTCTTCACTGTGTTGCACCAATAAATTCAGAAGTGCAGTGTAATTTGCTGGAGTCACTGTGGCTGTTGTGAAATTCAAGCAAGAGTTTAAAGCAACCCATCTTTATGTGTCTTACTGCAGTTCGTATATATATATATATATATATTTTTTTTTTTTTTTCTTCTCCCCATGAACAAGTAAGTACAGAGACAGGATAACTCACTCTTGCTTGTTTTTGTCAGGTTAAAATGTAATTAAAGGTAGTCTGCAAAATGGGATTGGACTCTTCCTGAATTAGGAACAGTTTCACTGTGCAGTTATTTAGGAGTTGTTTAAAACAAACAATGAAAAGAAAGTGCCACTTGACACTGACAGCAAGTATCTCTGTTCATTTTGCATTGTCAATAGCTCCAGTGGTAGCACTATTCTTTTGACAGCTAAAAGCAGATGTGTGGGTTAAGTATGGGAGCAATTCAAATGTCCATAGTAAACTGCAGGGGGGCAGAGAGAGCTCAGAGAGCAGCAGCTTTAAAGTAATTGACTAATACAGTAAGGATATTAAAGTCATTTAGTGCCAAAAGGGAACACACTGATCCTTGACCCTGAGCCACTTTGGAGTAATCTAGTATTCAATCCAGCGTGTAATGACTGCCAGGCCTGTCAATCCTCCGGGCTCTCCAGTCAAATGCCTGTGGCTACTATTGGCTTATGGTAAAAGGACAAAAATGCAAGGAAATGCCTCTCAATCAGGCTATGATGTGATAATGTTATTGCTCCAATGTATTCTATATTGTCCCTGCATAGTTTAATCTGTTGAGATCCATGTCAAAAATTGCCCTTGTTCCCCAGAGGTCTTTACTCAACCTTTTAGTAATACAAGTGGATTTGAAAGGAGAGGGGTAACTCACTTGATGAATTGTTTCCAGTTAATATAAAAAATAAGAGGTCAACTGTGGCTTAAAGGCTAACCGTGGAAGGTAT